GGATGCCTGTGGCCATGGGGAGAAGGAGCAGCTCAGCATCCTCATGGACGCTCCACCCCGGTGCTCATCACCCAAGCCTGTAAGAGCATGTGAAGGCTCCTCACCCATACGCTGTGTCCCCACGGAGGAGCAAGGCATTGAGAGCATCCCGTTGGGCCCCTGTCAGCGCTGAGCACAGCTTCAGGTTCTCCAGGACTCTGGGATCGGAGGCTGTGATGGTCTCTGGCTCCATGTCACAAACCAGGGCCCCGAGGACGCTGAGCTGCTCTGGGTGCAGGCGCCTGCTCTTCACCCCCTGCGAGAGACAAAGAGCCCCTTGTACCAATGCCTGGTGAGGGGGCAGGCCCCTGACACCCCTGGCTTGTCCCAACTCACCAGGCAGGCCAGAGCCCCATGGAGCAGCCCCAGGCGCTGTGCTGAGCCCCTGGGAAGCAGCTCCAGGTTCCCATGGGAAGCTTGGGCATAAAACGCTTCACAGGTCCCATCATGAACCTCGGACAAGCTGTGGGGAGCAAGAGTCAGTGCTGGGGGGGAGGAATGGGGCGAAGGGCTCCTCTTGTCCAGGTGGGAGCTCTTCAGACAGAGGGGGTTGGAACTGGATGATCCTAGGGTCCTTTCCAAGCCAAACCGTTCCATGATTCTAATGTTGCTTTTGGAGTCAGTTTTACACTGGTGCTCCATTCGGAGCCATGAGGTGCTGAGTGGCACAGGGCCAGAGGGTCCTTCTTATGCTGGGGAGTATGTCTGGAGGGGGTTTCTCAACCCCATACACCCCATGCTATGGGCTGTGCAGCCCCAACCTCAGTGAGGAGAGGAGCGGGGGTGTTTGCAGGGCTGGAAGTGCCCCGCATGGATCTAATGCAGGAGATTCCTGTCGTGCTCCTCTCCCACACACAGCTCCCACGTGCCCCAGGGTCCGAAACCAGGACACGGTGTCTGAAACCAGGACACGGGGCCCCGCTGGATGCCGTGAGGTGGCACCAGCCCTGTGCCGCCCTCGATACTCACTCAAAGAAGAGCAGCAGGTCTGGCGGGTACCTGCCGAAATCAGCCGTCAGGTTCCTGGCAGCGAGCAGCCTGGCCAGGCAGGAGAGCTGGCAGAGACAGCCAATGCCTTGTCAGTGCCAGCGTGGTGGGACCCCCTTCGCCCCAGCTCCCCATTGGGATCCATGGGGTTCACAGCCCCCCCCGTTCTGCCCCTGCTCACCTGGGCACCGCTCAGCTCCGCTGTTCTGTTCTGCAGCCCCTCGGCAAAGGCGAGGATGGTGGCAGCAGGGAGGTCATTGTCCGGGATGCATGGAAAACCTTGCAGGAGCGAGGCTGAGAGGCTGCGTTGGAGGGACATGGTTCCATTCACCATCCACTTTAGCTCCCAACGCCCCATAGAGGATGAACCCGCTCACTCCCATGGGAATTCCCCCTTCACTCTGACCACTGCGTGATGTAAGTAGGAATAGCTTGGGGTGTAATGAAAACAGCCCCTAAAGCCAGCGTTGGGTGGTGCCAAGGGGGTTGCCCTGCAGGAGCGAGGCTGCCCATCCCCATGGCTGGATGAGAGAGGAGCCAGCAGAGCAGTGATCTGGGGGAGGCTCCTGTTGTGTCTGCGTCAGTCCCACAAGGAAAGGGATCTCTCGGTGTGTTTGTGCTACAACAAGAGCTCAGATCCCAGCCCAGAACCGGCTGTGCGAGGCTGTAAATCTCTGCAGCACAAGTGACCTGGCACAGCGGCTGTGGCAGCCATGGGGGAGTAACTCAGCATCCCCTCTGCCAGCCCCACTGCCTGTGCCCCCATAGGTCATACCACCCCCTGCTGCGGCTGGTACTCACTCTGTGTGCTGCTCAGGGGCACACAGGACGGCTCCGATGGTCAGGGCAGCCTGGGGAGGAGGATAAAGGGATGCTCAGGAATGGGAAGAAGGGATTATTAAACACATGGAAAGGGACCTGACCTGGCCGGTGGCTGCTCCCCAGCTGAGAACTGCAGCAGCCCTGAGGCTGCCCTGGGTTCTGCATGGGGACTAAAGCCACCGTGGAGTGGGGACCCTTCAGCAATGGGGCTGTGCCTGCTTCCCTGAAGCTGAGAGGGGGGTTAGCATCAGGTTTGGGGTCCAGCCTTTGGTTTAGGAGCAGGGCAGTGGGTGAGCAAGGGATGGGGTGGGACAGGGTCACAGGCTCCTTATGGGGCCAGTGGGGAGGTGATGGTTCTGCTGCTCCCGGCACCAGCTATGAGGTTATAGCAAAGCAGTGACTCACTCACCAGTGCTGCTTGCACAAGGTCTGCAGAGAATCCTGCAATAAAGCAGAAGTGGGTTATAAACCACCCACGAACAGAGCTACAGGCAGCTGGGGGCTGCTCTGAAGCAGCTCCAGGCTTAAAGCCTGGGAGGGTCTTTCCTGCATCCATTCAATAGCATTCAGTGAATGCTGGGGAACACGATGCAGAGAGCGGCCCCTCACAGCCTCCACCAGCCCGGGCAACCTCCGGGGGGGATTAGGAGATGAAAAGTGACAAATCAGCCCCTGGGTGGATTCCTAATGTGCAGCTGGGAAAAACACCCACTGCCTGTGGATACTGATGGGAACAGGAGGCAGAGCACAGGGAATGCCAGAGCCAAGCGGGATGGGGATGAAAAGAAGAGCATCCCCGGTGGTGGGGGTGGGATGGGGCCCTGGGACAGGGTTGGATTTAAGGGTACAAGGTGGAACTCACGGAAGCAGAGAGCAGAGGGTGCCCGTGCCATGCTGCTGTGCTGGGGCTTCCTCCTTGGCATGGATCAAGTGAGCACAGAACAAACAGGAGCCGTGTCCCAGCTCCCGGATGGTGCTGGGGTCCTGCAGCCGATCCAAAGCTCCGGTGCTGGGGTCCTGCAGCCGATCCAAAGCTCCGGTGCTGGCACAAACCCCTGCAGCCCAGGGACGGGTTTTACACCCTGTACAGCAGAAACCAGAGTTTAAATCCATCCATTACTACTGTTAAAAGAAACTCCACAATAAACTGTCCTCTCTAACACCCACAGCCCTGCTCCCCCCTGCACCCTGCAGGGACAGCATCCTCCTGCATCCACATGGGACCGCATCAGCATAGACTGGGAGAAACCCAGTGCAGGACACCCGCAGGCTTCCCTCCCCCTGTATCCAACCCCCATAGGAAATAAATCCCTGCTCCAGCTTCTGGAGCTGCCCGGTGAGTTAGCGTATTGCCCTTCCAAGATGATCCAAGTAATCCCTCCATTAAGGCTCGTTGCTCCCTAAATCCCACCGTTGGCCCTTCGGAGCTGCTCTGCGTCCCAAGGGCAGGTGCTCCCGGGCAGCAGTGGGATGAGCACAGCACTTATCTGCTGCGGGGTGGGGATGTTGCTCTCCAACGGGGGTGTGACGGGGCAGTTTCTCAACCGTGTTTTGTAAAGCTGCTTCCTCCCCTGGTTTCGTGCTGAGGATTTTGCTTTCTCTGTAAAGGGTCACTTTGGGGTAAACCCTCCGGTTTGGGGGTTTCTGTGCTGGCGACAGAGATCCCCCTGGCTGCTGAAATGCTTTGGGCTATTCAGGGGTGTGTTTGTAAAGCGAGCAGGGCGTCGAACCGAGTCCCCGGTGATGGGCTCAGCACCCCTCCGGGAGGTTCGTCCACTCACACCCATCCTTTTTGCCTTGACCATGGACAACCCTGTTCCCTTTTTTACAGCTTCCTCCCTGCAATTTCAGATCCAAAACACGTGCCATGAAGAAGGAAGACCTGAAAGAAAAGAAGCAAAGGCTTTCCCAGTCTGTGGGATGGAAACCTGGAAAATCCCATTGCTGTGTGGCAGCAAATGTTATCTGAGTAGGTATCCCAGGAAAAACATGTTATCCCGGGAATAAGGAAGGATGCGAGCAGTCGGCAGTGGCCATCTGGCTGCTCCTCACCCTGCTGATGCCCTAAGCCCGCTTGGATGGGTTTGAGGGCATCAGTCTTCACCCAGGGTCCCTGGAGCAGGGTTGGCCACCCCCTGATGCTGTCCCCATCCCTGTCCCCCACTGTACAACCGGTCCTGCAGCACCAGGGCTCGGTCGATGCCTGCGGCTGTTTCTGGTTGCTATTTTGGAGGGATTTGCTGTAAAAACAGTTTCTGTTGGAGCAGGGAAATGACAGGAGCTTGTTTGCTATGAGGGACACAGCCCTTCCCGCAGGCTCACTGGCCAGAGGTGGCTGGAGTCCTCTGCCTCCGTCACGTCCCCACAGAGCTTGAAATTGGCCTTGAAACAGCCTCAGGCGATGCAGGCACAGCAGCATCAACCCCAAATCTGGACACACAGGGAAGCATCCCTTCCCCAAGCCCCTTCCCCAGGTCGGTGATGGGCTCCAACCACACCTCCCTTCTCTTAACCAGCCGCTTCCCTGCCCTTGCTGGGCTTGTGATCTTGTATCTCACAACCTGAAGACTGCAAGTAACTCCTTTGGGTCTTATTTTTCCTTGTAAAAATATTGTATTTATAAATATATTCTTATAAGATCCCTATAAATATTTAGTTTTCCTTATAAATAATTCCTTTTCCAGCTGCTTCAACCTAAGGACTGGCTGTTGATGTACAAGTTATATAGAAATCATGCTTGGTGGCAGCTTTCCTTCTGCACCCCCTAAACACCAGCAACCCCAGGGCTGTTCCCACACCTCTTTGCCAGGGAAAGCTGTGGTATTCCCAAACTAGGGGGTTTTCTCCTGCCTCTGCTCCTTGGCTGGGGACAATCCCAAGTATTGGACATGGTGGGAAACGGACAGCAAAAGGCCAAGGACATCCCTGGTCATGTTACTGAATGCAGGAGGGGTTTTGCATAGAGAATCCCTGTGGTTTCATCCAGGTGAACTTCAGCAGGGTGAGGATGAGCATCGGTGCTCACACAACAGGTTGGCTGGGTTGGAACCCATGGGCTGGTCCTGCTGGACCAGTTCAGGCTCATTCCTGGAAGCCCCCAGCCCCGCTGCAGCAATGGTACGGATTGAGAGACCAGAGGGTGAGCCACAGGATATGTAAGTAATGGTTTACTACACAGTGTGCAACAAGAGGTAAGGGTTATTGTAAGAAATAAGGGTTATTGCAAGAAATAAGGGTTATTGCAAGCTGTACAGAACATCACAACACACAGCTCCATCACAACCCCCCCATCACATGTGTGAGTGGATCCACAGAGGATGCAGTGATGGCAGAGGACTGGATGTGACATGGTACCCAGGGAAGGGATCCTGGAAAACACCTCTCTGCAAGGTAAGGAAAACAGGTATTTATCTCTGGTTTCTGCAGCATTGGGTAAAAGTGCAACACATGAAGGCTGATGGGTGGTGCAGGGTGCATGGGGTGAGCAGTGGGTGCCAGTCCCCAGCATTGCTGGTCCCCAGCATCCCCTCACCTTGTCTTGGATGTTGCACAGCAGGGACCATTCCCACCTTCCTAGGGAAGAGGAGGCTGTGTCCCACCTCTAATGCTGCAAACCTCACCCCTAACTCTTCAGGTCCCCTGGTGCACGTCACCCATGGTCATTCTTTGGCAAACAGGTTCATGCTGTTGATTTACAGCTTCAGGACCTGCCTCACCCCTCCCTGGCCATTCCAGGGAGATGGGATGGGCAGAGATGGGGCCTGGGAGGAAGGAGATGGATTTCCTCCTCCTCCAACCCCTTTAAGCCCACTGCCACCAGCTCACAAGCCTGTGGTCCCTGTAACACAATGCAATACCTCATGGGGTTTTGGTGACCCACAGGGAGAGGGCTGTGCTGGTTTATTGCCCCTCAGGGTAGGAATACAATGTGAAACCACTGATACAGGATGGGGCTTGTGGGATGACAGGGACTGCAGCACATGCTGATGTGGTGGCTCGGTGCAGGACACCCCAGGGATGGGTGCTCTGTGTGCAATGGGCTCCAGCCATCTCCATCCTTCCCCAACTTTCCTCATTGCTCCTTCCCACTCTTCACATCAGCCCTCAGCCTTCTGCAGCTTCAGCCACTTCCTTGGCTGCTCCAGAGGCTTCCCAAACTGAAGAGGAGCCACACAATGGGACCAAGACATGATGCTTATTCCCCTTTGCTTGGGTAAAGCAAGAAGGGGTTTGGGTCTTCTAACCTGCGTCTGCAGGGGTTACATCTCCACCCAGGTAAGAGTGGGTGCTGGGAAAAGGCAATGCTAGGACAACAGGATCTATTAAAAAGGCTTTGGGCTGCTGGCTCCCTGACCACAGAGGTACTAAAACTGCTCACTCTTGAGACCGCCCGTATTCCAGAACCACTAAAAGACGAGATTCTTCTCGTAGAAACCTGAAAAAAAAGATTAAAATCCATTTGGATCAACTCGCCCCAGGATTCACGGGGCTGATGGAGCCCCCAGGCTGCACTTCAGCCTCCTGATCTCCCACCTCCCAGTCGATGTGCGCCAGCAAGCACAGCAGGCTGGAGTGAAAGGAACAGGAGTGAGGGACAAGGGGAATGGCTTTAACCTGCCCGAGGGGAGACTGAGATGAGCTCTTAGGCAGAAGCTCTTCCCTGTGAGGGTGCTGAGGCGCTGGCACAGGGTGCCCAGAGAAGCTGTGGCTGCCCCATCCCTGGCAGTGCTCAAGGCCAGGTTGGACACAGGGGCTTGGAGCAAGCTGCTCCAGTGGAAGGGGTCCCTGCCTGTGGCAGGGGTTGGAGCTGGAGGAGCTTTAAGGTCCCTTCAACCCAAACCATCCTGAGAGTCAATGACACAACACCCAAGCTGCCCCAGGTGTGTTCTCCCCTCCCTTTGCTTTGCCATCCTGGCACTGAGGGTTTGCGGACGTGTCCATCATCCTCATGGCAAAGGCAGCATCCCTGCTGCCCTGGCTGTGCCTGAGCCCTGGGGTGAGGACATAAAGCTTTTGGGTCACTCTAAGCTGGTACATGACACACTGACTCTGCTGCTGAGGCCCACAGTTAGGAAAGGGGCATCCGGTGGCCAGATGGATAATGTGTACATTAAAAACCGCTAAACACTGCTAAAATCTGCCTAATCCCAGCCCCAGAAGTGAAGGAAGCCATGGATACAGGAAGTGCAGGCATGGAGTCAGCGCTGGGCTCCGCAGGGACCCACTGGGATAGAAAAGGAGCATTGGGCTGGAAACGCAACGACGTGGTTTGTGCTCACTCCAGTGCCCACTCGGCCAACCACTGCTCGCACCGGGCTCGCTGCTCCTCTGTCTCTGGGCTCTTGGCTTCACTCAGTGCCTCCTGCTCCCCACCACCGAGCACGGCTTCCTGGCTTTCCTCTTCCTCCTTCTGCATCACCTTGTCCTTCAGCTCTTGGATGGTCTCATCCAGCCGGTGAGTGATGCTCTGGGGCACCCAGTTGCTGTCCATTGCGGTGATGAAGGGGTCGGGGGCGCAGACCTCAATGAGCTCCTTGCCGGTGGGGATGCGCAGGTAGTAGGCATGGAGCATCATCCTATAGGGACTGCTGTCCTTCCTGTGGCTGTAGGTGAAGTCCCCCACGATGGGGTGGCCGATGGCGCTGCAGTGAACCCGGAGCTGATGAGTGCGCCCTAAGGGGAAAGGAACCATAGACATGGGTTATCCCTGAATCCCTCCATGAGGATGCAGTGGTGATAACGCACCAGATGGCATTTATCCCCATTTGAATCCTCTGAGCTTGGTGGCTCTGATCCCTTCAGCCCTTTCTAGGCTTCACTTTGCACCATGCACCCACATCAAGGCCCAAGGCTGCACATGCAGCATCTCCGCCTGCCCACCCTCAGCACCTTGTGCTGTTGAGGACAAGGAAGCCCCATGGAGCCCCTGGGACCTCAGCCCCACCCCGTTCAAACGCTGCCCCAACCCCAACCTCCTACCTGTAAGCGGCTGCAGCAGCACTTTGGTTACGGGGTCTCCGCTGTAGGACCCGTGCTCCAGCACGATCAGCTCCGACTGGCAAGGCTTGGGGTTCTCACAGCCTGCAGTGAGATGCAGATGGGAGTCAGCTCACCCCCTGCGTGGCCTGGGCAGTGCAGGCAGGGCGTGGGAGCTGCTCACCCTCCGTCCCATCGATGCACATCATGTGGGTCATGCCCTCGGTGGTGTTCTTCCCTATGGCGTAGCGGATCGTCATCCGGCTCTGGCTGACGTGGCCCCGGACCTGCAGGGCAGAAGGAGGGTTTGCAGACTGAGCCCTGTCACCCCTCACCAGCACAAGCAGCAGAGGCCAAGCCCCAATTTAACCACACCAAGTGCAGAAGCAGGACTCGGCATCACGGGCTTACCAGGGCGAGATAGGCTTTGGTCACCAGCCGGTCTTTAAAGCACTTGTAGGCGCTTCCCGCTGCTGCCTTGTTGAGTGCAACACACAGAGCCCCACTGGTGGAGAAGTCGAGCTGGTGGCAGAACCTGGGGATGAGACGGGAGGTGGAAAACCATTCCATGGGCAGGAAAGAGCCCGCGCCAGGCCCGGCTGCTCACCTGAAGCCGTAGTAGGTGTCGGGGTCGGCCAGCTCGGGGAAGCGGTACTTGAGCTGGCTCTGCAGCGTCAGGGTCTCGTACCACATCTTGCTGTCGATGCGGATGTCCCAGTGCTTGTTGACCACGATGAAGTCGGAGCTCTGGTACAGGATGGACAGGTTGTCGATGCTGCCCGGCTCCATGGCCAGCGCCCTGCGGGAATCACGATGAGCGGGGTGGGAAGAGCCTCAGCCGCAGCCTGTGCACAGGGGATGGGGACAGTACCCCGGTAGGGTCGGAAGTGTACCGGTGCCGCGGGCTCACAGCGCATGGGTCCCAGGGCAACACCGGGCTCCACCGCACGGTGCCCGTGCCTTACCGGTACCCGTGCCACAGCCGTCCCGGTGCCCCACGTGGAGGCCCCGCCGCCGCACGATGCTTGGGCCGGTCCAGCCCGGCGGAGGGGCTCGGCCCAAGCGGCTCCTAGCGCCGGGGCCGGGCCGCAATCACGGAGGGACGCGCACGGCGGAGGGGACACGGGACACGGTGGAGGGGCTGATGCCAAGCCCCGTTCCCCGCCTCCGGTTCCCGTCCCGGTCCCTCCGGTCCTGCGGCACTGAGCGCCTACATCGCCTCCACCGCCGGCGGCGCCGTCACCGGCACCGGACCTCGCGTCGCATCCAATCAACGCCGCAGCCGCCGCGTCCGGCGTTCCGTCGCGTCCAATCAGCGCCTCCACTGCTTCCTCCCGGAGCCCCGCGTCCAATCAGCGGCGGCTCCGCGGCGGCCGGAAAGGCGGTGCGGGCGGGAGCGGGTGCCATGGAGGAGCGCGATGCGGACCCCGATGCGGGGTTCTACGAGCGGTTCGCGGATGAGCTGGAGGCGCTGGCCGAGCTGGGAGGTGCGGGACCGGTGGAGGAGGGAGGGATGGAGCGGGTGGGCAGGACCCGGCTTTGCGGGTCCCCTCCGGTTGAGCGGCAGCGCCGCGTTTCGCCGCTCGCAGATGACCCGTCCCCAGCCGCTGGATGCAGAATCTCCCAGTTCCGGGACGGGAGGCAGCCGCCAAAGGAGCCCGAACCCCCCGGGGACCCCGACGGAGGCAGCAGCTCCAGGAAGAGGGATCGGGGCTCCCCCGGTTCCCCGCCCGCAGCCCGCAGTAGGTTTGGTCCCGGGTGCGGGGATGCTGCTGCTGGAGGAGCGGCGGAGGCAAGGCTGCTTCTCCTCTTCCTCCTGCCCTGCTGTTTCCCGCAGCCCCGAAGCCCAAGCGGCAGCGGCTGGAAGCTGTTAAGAAGCTCAGCTTTGGAGTGGGTGATGAGTTGGCTCCGGATGGCCCCTGGGATGCTGGCCCAGAGGAGCCTGCTCCTCAGGCTGTCAGGTTGGCCACCTTGAACCCTGCTTTGGGCAGGGGTGAGGAGCCCCAACACAAAGGTGGGGTTCAAGGGTCCCATCCCTTGCCCCCGCTAAAGGAAAATGGTGTTTTCCAGCTCGGAGCACCTGGACATCAGTGGCATGGCCCCACTGCAGAACACACCACCCTCCGAGAAGAAGCGGGTCCTCAAGCGGCCACCCATCCTGGAGGACTACATCAACGTGACGTCCACCGAGGGCACCAGGGTCTTCATGGTCCTGAGGGATGATTCCTCCAGGACAGGGGTGGAGGTGAGGAGGGATCTGAAGGCTGGGCTTGCTTCTTGTGACCTCCGTCCAGTTCAGGAGGGGATCTTTGATGAAGGGTGAAGCGTTTGTGCCGAGCATCGGTGTGAACGTCAGTGTGTGTCCTCTGGTCCTTGCAGCTCCCTGATTCCCTGGGCTGGAATACACGGAGGCCGCTCCACTTGCTGGGTGTGCCTTTCTCCTACCTGAAGGAACAAGTGAATGAAGAGGTATCCCATCATATACCCATCTTCCTGCCTTCCCCTGGATAGCCACAGCACTCGCTCCCAAATCCCTGCTCCCCACAGCCGTGGCTTAGCGCGTAACTCTGACCGCTTTCTCCCCCTCTTTGTGCCCAAGCGTCGAAGATGTGTTCTGGAGGCATCACAGCAGCTCACAGAGATAATCAACAGGTGAGGTGTTGGGGTGAAATCCCACTCCTAGCCCTGCTGCACTCTCGGATGCTCCGGTGGTGTCCAGATTTTGGGGACCTGTGAACAGAGGAGCCTCTTTGCCCTCAGCATCCCCAGCTTGGGAAGTGATGGTGGAATTCCCAGCCCTGTCCTGACTCCCTGGCTGGTCTGGGACAAGTTAATGCTTTCTTGCAGTTGCCTTGAGAGTGAGACCAGCACCGAGAGCCCGGAGCCTGCTGTGGAAGCAGAGCCAGCAGACGAGGAGGACTCAGCGCTGCATTGCCTCTGGGTGGACAGGTTCACTCCTCGACGCTACATAGAGCTGCTCAGTGATGATGTGAGGTGCTAGAAGGGGGGCTCGGGGGGTTACCCCCTCCGTGTTCTTCATTAATGCTGTGGGATCAGGTTTTGTGGTGCTGTTTTTGGAAGCATTGGCTGGGGGCTCTGCTGCTGAGAGGTTTTAGCTGTGGGCCTTCTGACGAAAGACTGAAAGATGAGCAAAGTAAGGCAAAAAGGATCTGTGGATTTTAGCCAGGAATCGTTGGCTGGTTTGAGTTTTTTGGGATTATTGTAAGTTTTGTAGGGAGTTGGAGATTGTGGAAGAGGCTGGGAAGCGCTGGGTTGGACTGAGACAGGTGAGGGACAGCAGGGATGGGGTTGATGTGACTTGCCTTTGATTGCCCTGCTGGATGGTGATGTTGTGGCTGCCCCATCCCTGGCAGTGTCCAAGGCCAGGTTGGACGCAGGGGCTTGGAGCAAGCTGCTCTAGTGGAAGGTGCCCCTGCCCGTGGCAGGGGTTGGAACCAGGTGAGCCTTAAGGTCCCTTCCAACCCAAAAACCATTCTATGGTTCTGTGGTGGCAGAGGTTGGAAGGAAACTGTGTTCCCATGCCAGGGAGAAACCTGAGCAGCCTCCCCTGTGATGGGGAGTGATGTTCCATGTGCTCAAGGTCCATCTGGGCAGACACGCTCTGGGCTTGGCTCCTTCCTCTGCCCACCCTGCTGGTTTTTAAGCCATGAAGGAGCAGCCTTCTGCTGTCCTAGACTGGATCCTTCCAAGCTTTGATGGCTTTGCTGCTGTCTTTCCGAACTTGCAGTACACAAACCGCTGCCTTCTGAAGTGGCTCAAGCTGTGGGACGCGGTGGTGTTTGGGAAGGAGAAGGCTGTGAAGAAGGCCAAGCCCGGCACTGAAGCTCATCCTCCATTCAACCAACCCAAGGAGCAGCAGAGTAAGTGGAAAACAAAGGTCCAGCTCACAGAGGAGATTCTGGAGGCTGAGCTGGACCAGCACAAGAGACCCAAATATAAGGTGAGCAGGACAGGATGCCGCTGCCATGGATCTCCTCTCCTGTCCCCCTTCATCCTGCCAGGGATGAGGAGCAGGGTCTTCCTTTTCCCTTCTCTTCCAGTACAGATCTAGGAGAAATGGGATTCCCTCATTCTTCTTAGAGATTATGGGGTTTTCTTACCTGTTTCAATGATGCTCAAATGCTACAGGGAGCAGAGGGAGCATACCCAGGCCAGCTTACCAGCTTCAGCCTGTCCAGTTAGAGGATAGAGAAAGGGGGAAACAAACACAGATCCTAACAGCATTGCTTCACACAAATGTATTTCTGGAAGGGATTTTGTTCAGCCTTTTCTGTCTACTGTCCTGCAAACTCAAACATCTGCATGAGGGATGCTGCCAGGATGACTCTGTCACCTCTGAGTGGCTGTATATTCTCCTTCCTCCTTTAACTTCTCCCTTTGTGTCTACAAACCAGTGCAGCAGCTCCCAAAACCGGTTTGGAGGCTGCAGAGCCTCATCCCCTTGCATGGCAGCTGTGTTTGGAGCTGGAGGAAGCCCTCCCTCACTGCCTGTGGGGCTGATGTTACCTCTTCACCCCAGGTAGCCCTGCTCTGTGGTCCACCTGGCTTGGGAAAGACCACTCTGGCACATGTCATTGCAAAGCATGCGGGGTACAACGCTGTCGAGATGAATGCCAGGTGAGTCTGTGCTGGCTCTGGTGGAGGTGATGCTGTGCTCGAGGTGATGCTGTGATGGAGGTGATAACCATGCCAGAGGTGATGCTGTGCTGGAGGTGATGCTGTGATGGAGGTGATGCTGTGATGGAGGTGGTGCTGTGCTGGAGGTGATGCTGTGATGGAGGTGATGCTGTGATGGAGGTGATGCTGTGATGGAGGTGGTGCTGTGCTGGAGGTGATGCTGTGATGGAGGTGATGCCATGCTTGAGGTGATGCCATGCCGCAGGTGATGCTATGTTGGAGGTGATGCTGTGATGGAGGTGATGCTGTGATGGAGGTGATGCCATGCTTGAGGTGATGCCATGCTGGAGGTGATGCTATGTTGGAGGTGATGCTGTGATGGAGGTGATGCCATGCTGCAGGTGATGCTGTGTTGGAGGTGATGCCATGCTGAAGGTGATGCTATGCTTGAGGTGATGTCATGCAGGCAGTGATGCTGTGTTGGAGGTGATGCCATGCTGAAGGTGATGCTATGCTTGAGGTGATGTCATGCAGGCGGTGATGCTGTGCTGGAGGTGATGCCCTCCACAGCAGCCTGCACTGCCTCGCCTTACAGTGACGACCGCAGCCCTGAGGTGTTCAAGACCCGCATCGAAGCTGCCACCCAGATGAAGTCTGTGCTGGGCACCAACGAGAAGCCCAACTGCCTGATCATTGACGAGATAGATGGGGCGCCTGCGGTAAGGAGCTGGCCACCTTTTGCATTAACCACTTACTTGTTAGGCTCATCTCCTGTTGCGTTTTAGGAGCTGTTCCTTGCCTCTGACCAGCAAGAACTGATCCCTTGTCTCCTTGACTCTTATTTCCCAAGGCATCTATCAACGTGCTGCTGAACATCATCAACCGTAAGGATGCGCAGGGCGAGGCAGCGGCCGGCATGGGCCGGCGGAGGCAGCGGGAGGGCGGATTGCTGCTCAGGCCCATCATCTGCATCTGCAACGACCAGTTAGTGCCTGCTGTGTGTCTGGGGAGGGGTAGAGAACTGAGACCCCAAGCGAGGAGGCGGCTGCTGTTGCCTCCTGCGCTGAGTTATTTGGCCCATGGATTAGATGCGCCGTAGGAAAAGTAAAGCTATAACATGCTCAGCTTCCCTGAACCCCAAGTTTTGCGTCTACTGGGATGACCTGTATTGAGGTGTGAGCGTATAGTTGTTTGTGCATGCCCAGGC